TTGTCCTTCATTCTTCTCTCTGAATCTTGGACATGCACACACACGCGCCCAGTATGAGTTTTATGCTGTCCAGTCTGGGACAGAAACAGTGGTCTGTCTGCCATGTAGGAGTCCAGCAATGTAGCTAGTACACCATCTGCTGGTCTCATAAATCTGTCTGTTTTCACTTCAAAGCCTGCCTATCCATTGTCAATGAATACTTTATAGAAAGTAAAACGCCGGGGTCAGCAGGTGGTGTGTTGGTTAAGGCACTGGACTCCCACATGGCTGACCATGGATTGAGTCCTGGCCTTGGCAGCTTGAAGATCACGCCAGTTGTATATGTGTGCATGCCCAAAATTCCAAGAAAATGGAAGATAGCATTGTGGCATGGCTATCCCCCCAGAAGGATGATTTCTCACTTTCTCTAGCCATCCCTCTCCAGTGACCACAGGTGCCCTGTGGCTAAAACCTAAAGAAGAAAGTCAGCACATGCATGGCATGATTTTTCCGACAATCCTGTATTTTTGTTTCTTTCACTCTGCTCTTAAAGGCGCTGGAAAGAGAGTGTTGTTACTTTGGATACTGGTAGTAAAGAATTAAACTCCAGGAGTAACCATCTTAAGTACAGGTAAGTGAGGGACCAGCATGTAGTGTAATGGCTATGTTGCTGGCCTCCCACGTAGTCGACTGCTGTTCGAGTCCCAGACCTGGTGGCTCAAACTCACGCCGAGTGCGTGTGCATGTGTGCCCAAGATGAGAATGGAGAAGAAGGGATTGCAGCATGGCCATCCTCCATAAGGGGTGACTTCTCTCTTTCTGTCTGTCTCTGTCTTCCTGGCGAGCACTCGTGCTCTACAGCAGGGAAAAAAAAAATGATATTAAGTGATATGTCCTTAACAGCATCCCACTTAAATTGTTCCTTCACAGGACCTGAAATAAACATGTTCAGTAGGTGTTCCATTGCCAAGTCTCCCCCTGTCTCAGATTAGAAAACATGGCATAGCTAGTCAACTCGTTTGCAGTTTTTACACAGTAAGCTGGCCAAACCTTTTTTTTTTTTTTTTTTAATTTACCAGAGGGTGTATAACTCACCATAGAGAGTTGGGGAAAGAGAAAAAGGGAAAGTGAGAAAGCACCTTCTGTGCGGGGTGGACAGTTACATTGCAGTCCCTTTCCTTTATATATATATTTTTTGGAGAGATTTTTGCTATAAGGTGTGTGTGCTCACCAGAGAGACAGAGAACACGAGAAAGTGAGAAATCACCCCCCAGGGAGTATGGCCACGCTGCAATCTATTCTCCTCTCGGGATCTTGGGCACACACGCACACGTGACCAACATGAGATTTTTAAGCCACTGGGTCCAAGACTCAACCTGCGGTCAACTACATGGGAGTCCAGCAACATAACCATTTCACCAACTGCTGGTCCCCTATCTCTCCTTTCAAAGATTGGGCACTCATGCACACTTGCCTGGCGTGTTTTTCAAGCCACTGAGTCCAGGACTCAAACTGTGCAGTCAGCCATGTGGCTCTAGTTCCTGGTTTTCCCAAACTAGTTAAATCTTGGTGACAGTTGTCTATAGTATACTTAGTGACAAGTTGTTTTTTAGGGAGACTTTTGCTACCTATTATGTGCTTGCCCTAGAGACAGAGAAACAGAGACAGAAGGTGAGAAATCATCCCCTTGGGGGGGATGGCCACACCATAATCCTCCATTCTCCCAGGATCTTGGGCCTGCAGGGCATAAGTTTCAAGCCTCCAGGTCCAGGACTTGAACCATGGTTGGCCCTGTGAAAGTCTAGCAGTGTAACCATTACATCATCTGTTGGTCCCACTATAACTTTCATAATAAGCATAACACTATAAAACCTGAAAATATTTGCTCTGGTTAATGGGCTAACCTTTGAAGGACTTAGGTCTATGTCCTTTGAGCATTTCTACCAGAGAACACTTTGAGAACTCCTGAAGCTAGAATGTGTATTTTGAACATTTTTTTCTTAACTTTGTGTGTGTGTGTGTGTGTGTGTGTGTGTGTGTGAATAATATTAAATTCTAAGTGTAGATCCTAGGGAAGACTGGCTGACTTGCCTTATTTTCAGAATATTAGTGTGTGGGGCCAGCCGGTGGGTAGTGGTTAAGACCCACATAGCTGACCGCAGTTTGAATCCTGGACCTGGCAACTTGCTTTTTCAAACTCTCCCTTTCTCTGTCTCTCTGGTCAAATCAAAGAAGAATAATAAATAATTTTAAAATCTTTTTATTTTAACTTTATTAATTTATTTAATTTGACCAAAGAGGGATAGAATGAGTAAGAGAGAGAGTGAGAAAGCAAGCCCCCTTTCAGTTCCTGGAACATTAGTGGCTAAATATTGTTCCATAGTATAAGTGTACTTGCTGTTCTCTCCTCTGTGGTCAGCGCAGCTTTTACTCCACCTAACCATGTCTGACAGCACCTTCAAGTCCTCCACAAGCCTTCCTCAGTTATTCTCAACTCTTAACGATGAGCACTGTGATAAATACTTTATCAATCTTCTTACAAGATTTTATTGAAATGTCTATATGTGGTTGTTTTAAAAAATAATACAACAAAAACTTGTATGAACTTTAAAACATTTAAGGAGTTATGCCTAGGAGGGGAACTGATATCATTTCATGTGTGTGGGTACTTATGAAAGCACAGTAACTTGCCCCAGGTACCATAGTAGGCAAATGGCAGACATCAAGCCCACAGATGTCTGGTTTCCTGGTTTACACTGGCTACCCCTCCAGTGAGCCTGCATATCACTGCACCTTGTTAGTACAGTTGTTTCTATAATATGTTGTGTTTCCTACAGGATCTTGCCATATTGCTTAGTCTGGCCTTCAACTCAGTCCTTCTGACTCGGCCTCCCAAATTGCTAGGATTATAGTAACACGCCACTGCACCTGGCTTAAGTGTTTTTATGATACAGTACAAATGCCATTTCAGATAAAAGTTTGAGTTACAGATTTGGAATCATAATACTGGAGTGCTATGATAAATTCTGAAATTCTACTTTATCATTTAAACAAGATTTGCTTGGAGATACATTTTTTGGTGGGCAAAATATACCTCCAAGTCTGTTGTACATATTTTAACTTCTATGTTGGTATTTTCCTTTTATATATAAACAGTACCATCAGGGTCAATCTTGTTTTCTAGTATATTATATAGAGGTAATTAAAATATTTAGAATCCTGCCCCCAAACACCTACCTTCCCAAACAAGCAGGCTCACTTGAACTCTGGTATCCTGAAGTTTTTTTGACTCATCACACACACACACACACACACACACACACACACACACACACGCAGGCAGGCATGATCAGCTGCCCTTATGACTATATGGCCCACCACGGTTTGAGTCCTGAAGTTGGAGGCTTGCTTTCTTACTTTCTCTCTCTCCCTCTCACATTTTCCCTCTGGTCAAAATAAAATTAAAATTAAAATAATTCTTTAAAAAAAAAATGAAGAACACAGCTCCTCAGCAGTTGAATAAACAACCTTGTTTCTTTCGTGTATTGACTTCTGATTTTCCTTCGGGGATGTTATCCCTCTCCCTCCTTTCCTACTGGCAGGGCAGCGCTTACCATAGAACTCAGTGCAATGAATTATTTTTAAGTAGCCTTTCATTACATGGGAGAAAGGACAAGCACCCTCCTCTAGCTGCCTTCTCCCTGTTTAATGAATGAAGTGTCTTCCTCTGAGTAGCTGCCCTAGTTCTGAATCCTCCTCTTGTTGACATCTGGAAACGCACAAGAGGAAAACTGGTCCCTTTAGCTAAGTGGGTTTGTATGGCGTGAATGTTATCTTCGAAATCTCACAATAAATACTTGAATTCGCAAAATGCTACTTGTCTCAAGTCCTCCTGTGGTGGTGGAATGAAGATACGGCAATTTTATGGAAGTCCTTGATTTAAAAATTGTGTTAAACTATAGGGCATCTCACGAAATTAGGCTTTTCATTATCGCATGATCCCAGGCCGGAGGGTCCCAACACCCTGTCTTTGAATGTTCCCCGTTTCGCTTGCAGGTGGGCATCTTACCCCACCCATCCATAAAAGAACTAAAGGGTAGAGGCTGAGTTCCTTTACCATGCTTTGGGGGCGGCCCCAGCACAACGGGACAATCTTTTTACCAACTGACTTAAGAGCAGTTTTCTGGAGACTGCTTACTCCACCACGTGGAGACTTCACTCCACCATTCACTCGTCCTGTAGCCCGACAAAGTGGTGGTTCTGACATGACAGAGACGGGGTGAAAAGCAATCCACCTGAGGAGGTTAGGAACTCAGCTCGCTTTCCCGGTGGGCCCCCCGGCCCCTGCCACAATGGCCGGCCCAACGCCTGAAGCCGGGCAGCTCACGCCTAAGCCCGGCCTCCTGCTTCGCCACGCCGCGCAGGCGCAGTCGAGCTCTGGGGGTTCCCCGCGGGCTGGCGCGCCGGCCGTCGGCGGGAGATTGGGTCTCGCGATGCGTGTGTGCGTGCCTGTGCGTGCGCGGCCCCCGCGAGCTCTCGCACGCCGCCTCTC